TTATAATTATATTTCCTAATGTGATTATATATTCTATAATTATATTAAGAATTCTAATAATTATATTTGAATTTGTAAACATTATTGCAAAGTTAAAGTTTGGAAATAAAGGAAATCAAGAATTAAGATTTCCTATGTGATCTTAATTTGTTTCCCTTCTGTGTGTGCTTTAAGAAGTAGCCTCTAATTATTTAACTTCTTATTTTTACTGTACATCTTTATTCTGAAAGCAGAATGGATGGTATTTGCTTAATAGCACCTTTTCAATAGTTCGTCTTCTTGTTGTTCAAAGTGCTGATAATAGCACAGTATTCAAACTTTACACTGAAGATGAGTAGTTTTACCTCTGCGTTTCCACAAAACATTTAATGATTTTTTACGTTTCTGTAAGACCCAGAGAAGGCAAGAACAGCTTGTCCTTCCCATGTTACAGCTGCAGCACTGACACACTAAAGGGTCATGCATTTCCAATGAATTTGGGTTCCCTATTTAAAGCACGGAGAGACCTGGTTTTTCAAAGTTCAGACCAAATGTAACGCTGGCTGCAGATATTTAAAGTGTAGGTGGAGCTCCCCTTACCTGCCCTGGCTTGCATGCTCAGAGCTTCTTTGTTCCACGCCTGGAGGGACAGTGGTTGAACCTGCCACTGCCTGAGGCTCCTGGACAACCAGCTGTGCTGTGCAGCATCTGGGGCAAGCCCGGAGGGGGGCTGTGGCTCAAAACAAGCCACCGAAGTTGAGCAGGGTGGATCCCCATGGTGGTGCTGCTTGTTTGCAGGGAGACGGGTTGCGGGTTGCGTGGCTTTGCCCAAGGTCACATTCGCAGCATGAAATCACAACCAGGTCAGAAATTCAGCATTCACAGCTCCCTGTCTCGTGCCTTAACCGTTTCTCGCAAGGGAGGATGTTGCTCCTGTAAGAAATCGCTAAAGAGAATTTTAATCAGCCATTTCATCTGGATAGTGATCTGTGTGAGTTTTGACTGATTGAAGGTGACATGCTGAACTTTAATTGCAACCAGAGACTGGATGTCTTACAGAGGAACCTAAGTGACAAAGCTGGTTGTGTTACAGCCCTGTTAAGTAAACAAAGTGCTTTTAGCAGCAGGCTGCAGCTGACTTGGTGGAAATTAAACTCAGCGATGAACTCTGGGGCTTACTGTTTTGGGAAGAATGAAGTCAATCTGTGAAGCAGTAACAAAAATACAAGTGTTTTAAAATTGTCAGGAATTAAATACGAAGGGAATCTATGTGGACAGATGTGCAGTAATGCAGTGGCAGAGGAAACCACATCCCTTAACTCTGTGGAAACCCAGGGGACTCCGAATGGCAATGGAGCCAGGTGCAGAAACGCTTGCAGAACTGGAGTCTGGGTGCATACTGGGCACACATCAGAGCGTGGCAAGCACCCTCACTGCACAGTGCCACCTTTCTTGCTGTTGCTGGTTGCTGTTTCCTCATGAGCATCCGTGAGTCTGCATAGCAAAACAAGAGAAAGGACACCGAAGCTGGAGTCACAGAGGGCAGAGCGGGAGGGAGGCTGCTCCTTGCACAGCCCTGCGGACCGATAGTGTTGATGGCAGCCTGTGCTTAGCTTAAAGAGAACTGCATTGCTCTTCCCATCTGCACTGTGTAACTGGTGACGTTTTCTGAGATTTTCCCTTCTCAAACCCTGAGCGTTATGTTTTGTGTGGTTTTTAGGCAGAACAAACGTTTTTCTATAACCTGATTTCATTTAAACTAAATCTCATTCTCAACATGTGTATAGTAAAGCTGTGAAGTTGTTTGCTTATGTTGTAAAAAGAAAAAAAACCCCAATTTTTTCCTAAGTAATTTTTAAAGTAGAATTGTTTTGGTGTTTATTTCAGAAACACCCTGTGAAACAGCATCTTCAGAGATAGAAGAAATGTCTTGGGTAGATAGTCTCTGTCCCTGCCTCACACATTTGATGGTTACAGCAGAAGCAGTAGTTGGGAGATGAGGTCAGATTCTGCAGGAGCTGTACGTTCTCCGCAGCACTGGCCTCGGGATACATTTTCACCAAACACCCACCTAATCATCTTTTCATTTTTCTCTCAGATTGTGGTTTAAACGTGCACAAGCAGTGTTCCAAGATGGTCCCAAATGACTGCAAGCCAGACCTGAAGCACGTCAAGAAAGTGTACAGCTGTGACCTTACAACGCTAGTAAAAGCACACTTCACTAAGAGACCAATGGTAGTAGATATGTGCATTAGGGAAATTGAATCTAGAGGTAAGGCGTAGTTAATGGACTTTTGTTGCCTTGCTGATAATCCGTTTAGATTGATCTGGGTCATCTGGGTTTCTGCTCAATGTATGATTGCTCAAAACAGATTTGCACAAGACATTTTATGACTGCCCATTATCCTACATGGCTAATATTGTACTTCGCATTATTTCGTGGTTCATACCCATTTATAATTTTTATAGATTCTGCTAGAAATTGCTTAATGGACAATTACTGCTTTATAGTTATATATTGGCACCTATCTTTCCAGTAATATTTTTATTTCAAAAATTAAGTGAATGTGCTAAAACAAAGGTGGTTAGTATTGATGTGTTCCCTTTTGCTACTTCCCCTAGCCCACATAGAATATCCTGTTCTAGAATTAGAGTATTTGTTTTCATTCAAATAATAACTGAACATCAAGTATGTTAATCTCAGTTATTTTTGTCAGTTGTAATTGGTTTAATATGTTTCTTCAATTCTGAAATCTTTTGTTTAAATATAATGTAGTGCTGATAAAACAAGGCAGCTCACTCAAGGGTCAGGATTAAAAGGCCAGGATAAGATTTTATTCTGAAAGAGAAGACTGGTAGGGCTTTTAAAATGTGTCTGCTTTTTCTGCCTTGAAAGAAGAACCTGACAAAGGAAGAACTGTGTGCAAGGAAACTAAAATGAAGAGTAATTTTAATATTGTTAAAATGTTCGTTGCAGGTCTTAATTCCGAAGGACTATACAGAGTCTCAGGATTTAGTGATCTGATTGAAGATGTCAAAATGGCATTTGACAGAGGTACAGTCTTACCTGTGTGCTGCAACTTTGTGCTGATATATTAAATATACACGATTTCTCTGCACAGCTTCTGTCTGCCTCACACTCCACTGCATCAGCAACTGCACTGGCTGAAGGGGAGTCTCCCCATCAGAAAAGCATATCAGCTTCACTTTGAGCCTTTATCACCAAAATCTCCTTTTCTCCTTCCATCAGTATCTGTGCTTCAGTATTGAAGTGCATAGGAAAGGACAAAGCTTTCTAAACTACTGCCCTAGTTTGCAAAACTACGCTCAGGGGGATGGGAGAGGGAGGGAGGGCAAGTAGTAAAGTGCCTTAAGAGGGCTGTGCAGCTTAAATCTGTATTTCTGGATGAAAGCTCCAAAATAATAGGAGGAATACAATAGTGCAAACAAAGTTTTCATTATTACAGCCTAAAAGGTCAGTGAGAACAAACTCTTCTCTCTGAGAAGAGGCAGTGGGAAAATTAAAGGCTTTCCAGCTGCAGTCCTCCTATCCCAGTAGAAATCAAGGCCAAAATCCATGCTGGAAACTCTTTCTCGTATTTCTCCAGAGGACTGAACCTATTCAGACAACATCTGCCTCCTCTGCAGTGTTAGCAGGGTGGAGATGTGCTGGAGAAGCCAAGTTCCGGATCTGTGTCTACTGCAGTCAGGAGTAGGTAGTGTGCTGTAGCTACGTGTTGAACACGTTTTTCCTATAAAATGAGGAGGTCCTGGACTAAGTTGGTCTCTTTTAATTCTTTTCACAGACTCCCTGATTTCTCATTCAGAGCTGACAAATGTATTGTTTGGCAGTGTGTTCAGAAACACATTAATACAAGATAGATACTGCTAGATCAGGCAGGTTTTTTCAAAAGTAAAAACCACAAAACAGCAAACCCTGCATTTTTTGTAATCATTGAAGCAAAGAAAGGATAGGTTTCTTTTTAAAGTGCTTGAAGTTTTCACCCTGAAACAATGGACTTCACAGCCTAGTAAATTTCTGTTTTGCTTATAAAAGCCACAGTCTGTGATTGTGTTCTTTTTAATAATGTTTGCTTAAGCAAGTTATTACTTTTCTTTTGAACACTGTTTTACATCTGTTTACATTTCTGAGGCTTTAATGTCAGTGCCTTCTCCACACAGATGGGGAAAAAGCTGATATTTCTGTGAATATGTATGAAGATATCAATATTATCACTGGTGCACTTAAACTGTACTTCAGGGATTTGCCAATTCCACTCATCACGTATGATGCCTACCCAAAGTTTATAGAGTCTGCAAGTAAGTATAACGCTTTTTCCTCCTGATTTTCATTCTCAACCTTTTCTTCTCCTTTTTGTGCCGTACTTCCCAGTTCATTTAATAGCTGTCCTATCAGCTCTTACCCCGCATGCCCTATTTAGTAAGGATTGCAGAAGTAAATGTGCACTGCACATTACGACATGACTGTGTGATGCTACATGATGATGGCTACATTTTTCTTTGTCACCAGGAATGTTTCCTTTTCATCACGTATTATGGATTACGTCGCTTTGTATGTCTTGCATGAATCCCTGGCACTTGACAACGACATTTAAAGTCTGTTGGTTTTATCTTGCCAGGAAGAAGGTGATTTATGAAAATGTTTAGAAATAAGAGAAGTCTTTTGTTTCTAGAGGTGTCCATTTTGAGTATTTTCATCAGCTGATAAGCATTCATCCCAAGGCCACCTTCAAGGCTGGCCTTGCAAGAGTGACGGTAAGCCCAGCTGGAACTTGTCTCCCAAGCATCCTGGCTGCCTGCAGCACCTCTGCAATGTAGCAGACACACCTGGAAAGGTGTGAGGTAGCTGTAGGTAGAAAACAAAGGCTGGATGCTGGTCTTACTGCTCCTCTGGAGAAGACTCTTTTCCAAGTAGTGTGGACACAGCCAAAGATGCTGATGGCAAAGTTCCCAGTACCTTCTGCTGTCCCAGGGTTGCACTGTAGATTATTTGTGCAAAACTAGTCCAGTCAGCAAGGATTGCCAGGAGAATGGTTTTTTTTAATAGGCTGCAGGGAATCTTCCAGTGGAGTACAGTTTACTTTGGGGAGTTTTCCTTGTCCAAAACCAGTCACATCCTGAGGGTGCTCTGGGCACCTCTTTGGACAGGCAGATCCTTCACCGTGGGGGTTGGATAGACTTTGGAAATCAGAAATCCAGCAGAGCTGTGAGACCCTGTCTCCTGTGCAGGCCACTGTTGTTGTCTTTCTGTGTGTGAATTTTGGCTGCGCACTTGGTGACAGTTGAACATCTGTGTTTCAGAAACTACCGATCCGGATGAACAGCTGGAAATTCTCCATGAGGCGCTGAAGCTGCTGCCACCTGCACACTGTGAAACATTACGGTATCTCATGGCGCATCTGAAGAGGTAAGTGGACTATCTGGAAAGAACTCTAAGCCAAACTAATTTTTAGCAAAGTCTGTTAGGAGCTGCGGAAAAGTCTGGGCAAGGCCCACAGAATCCAGACTGTGGTGGGGAACGATAGTCTGCACAACAGTGAATACCCCAATACTGGGGTTTGTCCAACTAAAAGCACCGGCAAAGCACTTAAAGAAAATAATTTTTAAAAAAACACAGTAGTTTTAAGCACAAAAGTCATCTACCTAACAAATTTGCTCTATATTTAAGGTTATAGTGAGCATTTATGGTAAAAAGAAGCTGTTTGCACCTCTGGGAGTAACAAGTAACACTTCCTGAGCAAAGAACTAATACAGGTTAATGGCTATAGACCAGGGTCGTCTTCTGCCAGATCTCATCTGACACCCTAAAAAACATGCCAACCACTAGGCTTGAGCTGATGCTGATTAGGCACTGTGTTAATTGGCCCTGCGGCCACGTGTCTGGTGAGGTCTGCCAGCCATTCCTCATCAGCCTGGAGCCTCTTGTTCCACCTGCCACCTTCTCAAAACCACAGGAGCATAAATTGTGTCTGAGGCTTCTCCTGCTCCCCGAGACACGATAGAAGTCAGTCAGTAAGCTGAAAAATTGTTAGAGACAGACTGGCAGATGAATATTCAGTACAGCAGCACAGATTCTATTTCTTTCAGGAAAGCAGGGGATTAAAAACACAATGTGACATGCTGGGGCACCCATTTTAGTTTCTCAGGTAACATGAACTTACTATCAATATATAGGAATCATTCCCTTTCCTTAGAAAAATACTTTATTTTAAGCTGTCTTCTGTTTTTTTCCTTTCATAGTTCTTCTACAAGTAGAAATGTGTTGACTCCGTGTAGTGCCTCAGGCAAAATTCAGCTACAGGGTTTCTGCCTGATTTATCTATTTATTTCAATGCCATTTCTAATGGATGTTTTAGAACAGACACCAGGATGAGAGATGTGGGAACAAAAAAAAGCAAAACACCTTACTGCATGTGAAGAGTAGTTTGTTTTCCCTACCTTGTTCAAGAGTAGCTGTTGCTACTCTAGTTAGTAAGTTGCTTTTGCACTTCATATTTCTGGTGTAGATGAGTGATGAGGTAGAAGAGTGACAAAATTCACTCATTTTTAAACTTCCTTATATTTGCTAAGAAGAGCTGTGGTGCTCGACAGGCAGTTGTCTTGCAGCTGAATTCAGGTAACCAGACGCAGCTCCTTTGTTTGAAATAATTGCAGACTGAAAATGTAGCAGCATGGAAATATCAGTCTGACTTGGTTTAAAATAAAATTTGAGGCAGAAGGGAAAAAAAGGAAGAAAAAATCTTGAAATTTATTTTGTGTACCAAAGGATTTGTTCATGCAATGCAAGATGCCACAGTCATAAAAAGAGAAGTAATTTAGCCAGACTCCTCTGCCCCTGGATTCTTGGTTGTTTCTGAGAATCTTTATGGATTCTTTAAATCATAATGTGTATTAAAACATAGGCATAATCTACGTTTCTTTTCCTAAGCGAGACAATTCACCGGGATAAACCAAGGCAGAAGCTTAGGCCTGTGTTCTCTGCGTGTGTTGGGGTGGGCAGCAGTGATGCTCAGTGTCCAGGTGTCCCAGGCAGGTTGTCCTTCCTCCACCCACCCCGTGCAGGACACGACGTCCCCCGTGCTGAGGCAGAGCAGCGCAGGAGAGCACAAGCCGCTTCTGAGCCCACATTAAGAAATACCATCCTGCGGTCCCAGCATCAGTCGTGGCTGGTCAGCAAGAGCCCTTCTGGCGTTTGCTGAGCAGACTCTCCTGTGGGTCTAATTCTTGGGCAAACTACATTTCTGGAGGTGGCCTGAAAACCTGCAACCCCCCACAGCAGGGCCTCAGCCCACAGCTTTGAACAGGTCGGATTCCTGTGGAGCAGCAGAACATGGCCTCCCTGCCTCCTCCTCCTCCTCGCAGATGGGAACCAGGCGGTGGGAGGCTTCCCTGATCCGGGGGCTCGGCTGTTCGGCAGCTGCCAAGGACCCCCGAAGAGGGAGGGGTGGAAGTGGGCCTGTCAGAGCACAGGTTTAACGACCTGCTCAGAGTGCCGTGCAAATGAGGTTACAGCGAGACCCCGGTGGTTTCAAAGCGGCCTCAAAGTGATGATTCACTTTTCTATTTTGTTTTTTTTTTTAGTACACTCCACAGGACATAGTTTGTCTTGAAGAGGAACAAGGCGTCCAGCTTAGCAGGGTTAGCCTGTAGTGCCTCAAGGCAGGGAATTCACATGTGGTGGCCTCCACCCGCCATTGCCCTCGATGCCCAGGAGAGGAGCAATGTGACCAGGTGGAGGGAGCCGTGCCACCGGGGCAGCCTGGCCAGAATCCCACCTGGGCACGATAGCACCTCTCACCTAAAACCACTAACACTGTGTGCTCCCCATGGGAACAGCCGCTGTAAAGAGCAAGAGAAAATTGTTCTGATTTGTCTGAATTCACCCCTTCCCCCGCCGTGGGGTACCGGTGGCTCCTGCAAGTAACCGTGGTCTGCGCGCCTGCTGGGAGGACACAGGCATCTGGCTCGCTGTAAACCCGCGCAGCGCCGGCGCTTCTGAGCGTTTCACCCGACAGCTCTGCCTGCTCCTGCGGGAAACGACAGCCTTTCCTAGGCTTTGGGGAAAGGCAGACGTTTCTGACCAGTTTCCCTGGTTTTCAAGCATACACAGGCATAGTTTGGCGCAGAACGAACGTGAAAAACACTGTCCTTTTCTGTTTGTTTGTTTTTCACAGAGTAACACTCCATGAAAAGGAAAATCTGATGAGTGCAGAGAATCTGGGCATAGTTTTTGGACCAACTCTCATGAGAGCGCCAGAACTGGATGCGATGGCTGCATTGAATGACATCCGTTATCAGAGACTTGTGGTGGAGATGCTTATAAAAAATGAAGACATTTTATTTTGAATATTTGGGGGATTTTGTAATAAAAAAGGAAGCAACAGTGTTCTATGGATGAAGGAATATTTTGAAGTAATTTAAAATGGCTCTTGTTGCTGAATTCCATATTTACTAGAGCTTTTGATGTATTCAGGATAAAAATGAAGGAACTCTATGTCATTTCTGTAGTGCCATTCAGCTGATGTTGAAAAAGGTTAACACATACTTTCCAGTACTAGTAATCCTGGGTGTTTATCATGTTAAACTGAAAAACAAAAAGCCTAAAGCTATTGCATGATTTGCTCCCTGTTCTCCCTGTTCTGGTGAGACTCATTCCATGAAGAAAACAACTGAACTGGTGCAGCATCTTTGTTCTGGATAGTTTGTGATTGTAATTCAGCATGTTCTCTGTGTAAACCTGTTGTGAATTTGCTTTTATGTTCTATGTAATTGGTTTCTGATACTAAAAAAGACGGCCGACGTATGTAAAATGGAGCCTCTGGCAGTTTATTGACATTTCATATCATTCTCTGCCACCTTTGGGGCTGACTTCTTCTTGGGTTTTTTCTCATTTTTTTCATCATATAGTAATTTTTTTTTAACAGAAGCAAAATGTGTACTTTAAATGTTACTTTAAGTAATTCTCCATGATGTTTATGGTTGTTGCAGTGAAATCTGCAATGCTGAACAGTGTTCCTTTATTATTATTGCTATTTCAATTGTAATTTTGTATTTTTATCTGGCATGCATATATTAATTTATTAAATTTTGCTTTTAGAACTCTAACATTAAGCAATTTACTTTTACTTAATGAACATGTTTCAAAGTACTGTTTGTTTCATTTTTTACATTGGCACTTCAACCCTGAACAACCTCTGACTTAAAAGAAGTGAGTTAGAGTTTTACTGGTTTTGACTAGACCATTCTGATCTAACTACTTCGGAGCCTGTCACTTTGCTAAGGTTTCCACAAATTCCTCTTTAGCTTGAATTTTTTTTTCTTCATTGTCTAAGATGCCTCTCAAGAATGCCTCAGAACTCTCAAACAAACAAACAAAAAAGTATTATCGAGCCACCATAATATATATATATATATGTGTGTGTGTGTGTCATTATAATTGCCTATATATTACCTGGAACTGCAATTTACCATGACACAGTTGTAGCTGTGGTTACACCACTGAATTTCAAATGGAAATACATCGCAGAATGCATGCTTTGCACCTCGGGTGTTCAGCACTGGTGCAAAGGCTTCAGCCTCCCCTGCAGACACCCCTTAGCTGCCGACCAGGGTTCAAACCCTGACACCATGTGAAAGGAAAATGACCAGAACTTATAAACAATTTCTCCATTTGTTCTGATAATACAATGCGTAAAAAAAATCACTTGTCAACCTTGCCACTTCCCCTCTGATGGAGACACTCCAGCCGTTGATAGTCTGTCACCGGGAGCGTGGCAGAAACATCTGCCCTGGTGGAGTAGCTGTGACTGGGCAGGTGCACGAGAGGCTTCACATTGGATGGTTTGCAGTCCTTACAAGTCATAATTTCTCCATTTCTACAGTTTCTGACTCCAAAAAATGCTATTGCCAGTGAGTTTGGTCTGACATTATTAGAAGTGCTGTAATCCCCCTACCTCTAAAGACTCCCTCTCCTGGGAAGGTTTCTGGTGACACTGCGGCAGCCAGGAGTAACAGACAGGCAGTGTCATTGCTTGTGACCAAATGGTGACTCCATGTCACCCACCTGGCTCTTGTTCTTAATGGTCTTGTGCATGGGAAAATAATAACATCGGAGGAGATCGATGGACCCGCAGGGAGTAAACACGGAATGAGATGCTAGGATAAGGGAGGTGCTTTGGCTGAGCACCTTCTCTAATGCCAGCCCCAAAGGAGAGCAGCCAGGTGAGGCTGCTTGGGCAATTCAGAGGTTTCACCCTGTCCCTTCCCCCAGGCAGCCAACACCAATGTGGAGGAGGAGGAGTGATCCCTTAGCAATTGCAGCCAGCTGGGCTCCCTGCCTTCAGCAATAAGGTGCTCACTGTAGCTACCTCCTTCCTTTACGTGCCTGGCCAGAAGAGGAGAGAGAAGGCAGCTCTCTCCTGCGGCAGGATTCGAGGAAGGAGGGGATAAAGCTGGGGGTGCACATTGGTAAGCATGTGAGGAGTGCTGCTCTGGGCTGGGGGCTGCTGGAGGGGTAGAGCAGTAGGAAACTTGGAAGAAATTGTCCTGTTGGGTTTTTGTTTGTTTTGTTTCTTATTTTTAATGTTGTCTAGCACAAAAAGTGACTTGCTGGTATAATTCATGTATTAATTAGTACGTGTTATCACTTTATTTGTCCCAAGGAACTGATAACAGCTGGAAAACTATGTCTTTGACCACAGTCTTGCCTGTCTGCCCCAGTCTCAGCCTAAGAGCAATGGCCCACATGCTCCCTAGTCACATCTGTCTTGCGCTCCCCAGTAGCCACATATGTTCACTGCTACCTTCTTCCAAGCCAGCTCCTAAATGTGCTGCATTTCCCCTGCTGACTCTGCAGCACGCGATGCATTTCCTTACTCCTGTGCTGCCTAGTGACCCTGTGTATCCCAGTTCTCTGACCATCCATCATTCCTGCCTTCCCTTCCAGGCTACCTTGCAGTGGCTCTGGCTGGCCCTTTGCATTGCCCTGTTGCCACAATCAGCTCGCAGCTCCTTGGCGAGGAGATAAGATTTCTTTCTAAGGAATGCTGGCAAGGTTTTGCACACAGGTTTGACCCGCTTGTCGCACTGCAGCGCTTGCATTGCTTGTTCTGTGCTTGTCCCGGGCACCTAATGCTGCCACAGTGAGCTGTGGTGAAAGCATCCTTTTCTGAGAGCACCTGACAGTAGCTGGTACAGGGCATGGCAGGGAAGGACATGACTTGCTTCAGCAGCTCTGTCTGTGGTGGTGGCACCGTGTCCTTTGGCAGCCCCGGTGAGCCAGAGCGAGACCTCAACATACTTGAGCAGAAGGTATCTGCTCTTCCCCATTGCTGTGCAAGCAAACCTGAATCAGACAGTTGAAGTTCCACTTCTAAAGCATATAGCAAGAAGCATGTAGTAATAGGGGTGATTAGGATAATTACATTTTCCTCTTGTGTGAAATACCCCGCTGTTCTGTCTTGGTACTGCAGCAGATGGGTGCTGCTGATGTCTGCTCCCTTCACTTTACAGATGCGTTCAACTGCGTTTGGAAGTGGTGATGGCAGGAGAGGTGCGAAACTGTATCGGAGTCAGAGAAAAAACACCCAGAATAGCTAGTCTAGATTTGCTCTGGGGATAGTCAATCTCTCCAATGTATGGAGAGCAAACAAGGTTTGTTAGTTACTGCCAGGTGCTGGTCTCCTGCTGGAGATTTTTTTTTTCCAGCAGAGTTTAACAAGTGAATATAATCGTGGAAGTTTCTGTGGTAAAGGAGAAAACCTAAATAGGGGGATGAATGACCAAAAGCCCAAACAAATAGTAACTCCCTCAAAAAAAATTCAAGAACAAACAAAAACCCATGCCCCTTCTCCTCCAAAAACCTAGCTCAAGAAATACAACTCTTGTGTAATGCCTGTACACCCTCTCCCCTGAGAGCTCCCTAACGAACCAGTACAGCAGCTTGCGGGCACAGGAGCTTAGAGGTCAGGCAGCCAAGTCCCTGCTGTAATCAGCACCGCTTCATTTTCCTGAAGTTTCACGTTCTGTTGAGGTATGAAGCAAACTGCATGCCGAGCTTCAGAATGTTTAGCACCAAATAATCTCAATATTCAAATAATTAAGGACAACAATGCTCACCCTGTGTGTGAGAGAACAGCCCCTGCGAAGCACGTGTCTGTCGGGTGCAAGCGTGCAGGATGTGTGTTGCATTAGGGAGAGGATGCGGGACCCCAATGGTCAATGAAATGCTTGACTTTGAAGGCCTGAAATATTTATCCAGTAACTGTTTCTTTTAATGTCTCTAATTTGCTTATGGATTTTCATTAAGTGTGTAGGCAAAGCCTCTGTTTTAATCTTGTTTTTCCTCCTGCCCTAATGAAACTGATCTTTCCTGAGTGGTAACCATTAAAGCAGGTACTTGCAAAAATAAACATTGTCTTTGCAATGAATTTGATACTTCTTTTTGCTAACCAGGAAGACACTTTGCATAGGCATGTAAGTAATTACATTATTTAAATTTCATTTAGTAATTTTTTTATTAAACACAAAAAAATAGTATTTTTGATATTTGTGTTAGTTAAATGACAATACATGAGCCTATAAGACGTAAAGGTTATCCCGAAGTTGGTTTGTTCTCTATTTCCATGACAAATATATGTTATCTAGTGTCCAGGGGGTGATCTTATTGTCCCAAGTGCCAGTGTCTGCAGCGCAGTGAGAGGCTGGGCAGAGACCCTTGAGCCATTGCACTGCAGCACCTTATCGAAGTGCAGTTGGCCACAGTCAAAAAGATGGAGGGGAAAAAAGGACTAAACTAAGAAAAAATTCTTCCTTGGACTTCTAAGGAAGAAATGAAGTGCCCTGGCAAAACGTACTAGTACATTGCAGTCCAGGAATTTGCATGGGGCATAAGGGAAAGCAAGTCCGACTAGGATAAAGGAAGACAAAATTATTCAAAGTTATGGAGGCAGTGAGTAACTGTTAAAATGTATGTCTAGCAAAAATTAAATATCACAGCTGTTGGGGGGGAAAAAACTATTTAGCACAGTGCTTGGGGGCATCATTAGAATCTTTAGAATATAAAGGGGAAGACACCTTGCAGCAATTTCAGGAAAATATCCTGGCAGTGCATTAGCCCAGTGGTTTAGCACAGGGTTCCTTGACCTCTTATCACCAGGCCAGTTCTCTGCCACTCAGTGGGAAAGAGAGGTCCCAGCTGGAGGCTGGCTGGCCATGGAGCGCTTTGGTCCAGGCATTCCTCCCGGCAGACCTGCAGCCGTGTGCGTTGTCCTGGCACGTGCGCCATGCCTTGGACCCGCGGTATGTGGCGCGTGGGAAAGCCCTTGGGAGAGCAGCACGTGTGCTCCCCGTGTCCCTGGCCTGGGCACAGGGCTCCTTCGCTGGGCAGGGGCCTCACCTGCCCCCAGCTCCCCACCGTCCCCTGTTCAGGCTGTGAGGCAGAGGGAAAGACGTGGTGTGCGCTGTCCATGTGCAGGGAGCACCTGCAGGAGGTTTTGGAAGAGCTCTGCGACGAGGGGAGCAAGCTGCCTCCTGAAACAAGAATGCAAGCTTCTGTTTATGCCAGGTTAGCTGACAGGATTGAAAAAAACTGTTGTTTATGATTTTTATGCAAGACTAACCTTTTCCTGCCCTTCCCCCTCCAGTGGCAAAGGAAGAAGTGAAGGCTTCTAAAGGCATATATGATACATTCGCTCTGTTCCTGACCTAATTTTTGCATGCTGATGAATATTCTGCAATGTTTTTTATTGTAGCTATAATTATATTGCAATAAGGGGGAAAAAAATTTAGTGAACCTAGCAATCATGGATTTCTTTTTTAGTCAGGCAAAATTACTGCTTAGCAACTGCTCATGAGCCCTGGAAAGCTTATGTAATGCAAGAGAAGAAGGGTTAGGAGATGTGTTGTGGATTAAAGCGAGTGCTGAGCAAACCATGTAAGGCAGGAGTACCTCCTGCTCTGCTCACGTGCCAGCGGGAGTGCAAGCAAATGGCAGAGGACACGTGCCTGAGAGCAGGGTGTGGGAAGCTGGGTGCAGGGCTTGTTGCTGCGCCCCAGCAAACCTCCACAGGGTCCCCTCTGCAGCTCTGGGCTGCTGAGCACCATGA